GAGGCTGCTAGTTTTATTAGGTAAGCCTCGTGAGACTTCTGAAGTCTTGATGGTTTCTCAGGCCTCTGGCGGAGCCCCATGGCTCAGGCAAAGCTTCCTCAGCTTTTTCCTGTTAATGGAATTGTCAGAGGCCCCCAAAGAAGAGCTCTGATGCAGGGGGTAGAGGTGTTTGCCTGTAATCCCAGCATTCTGGAAGGCTGAGGCAGGAGGATTACAAGTTTAAGCCTAACCTGGGCAATTTCGTGATTTTGCAAGACCCAGTCTCAAAAAAAAAAAAAAAAAAAAGAAAGAAAGAAAGAAAGAAAGAAAAGACTACTCTTCCTTTGTAGGTTTTAGGCTTGCTTCTGGCCATCAGTTAGTCTGGTAGGGGGGCACCTTAAGTCAGCCAGCAGGTGATACCAGTTAATGCTTGCCTCAGGCTCTGGGAGGGCTCATAATTTAAAACATTACTATTTTTGAAAAAGACAGTTGTCAGAAAACAGCAGACAGAAGGAGCCAAAGAAAATGATGTTATCTCAGAAACTGAAAACTAGGCTCTCGGATGAGACCCAAAGAAAGGGTGGACGGAGGAAGGTGGAGCTGCAGAGAGATTGTCAACATCGTCTCAGAGCCAGGAAGGGCCCAGCACATTCATTCAAAACCCTCGGTGTCACTGAGCACCGAGGGTGCGCAGGCTCATGAGGCAGCGTGGCCTGCCTTGTTCTTTAGTGGAGGCAGCTCTGGAGCTGGGGCCAGGCCTTCCAATTCCCAGGCTTGAACTCTCTCTAGAACTTCTGTTTTGTTTTGTTTTGTCAGGCAGGTGCTAGGCCACTGAGCTCTATCCCTGGATCCAGAAGAACTCGCTGAGTCAGTGTGGCCTTATGGAGTCTCCTGCAGGACAAGGGTGGGGTGGGGGTAGGACAGAAAGAAGTATCAGCCTGGTTTGGGGGAGTGTCACCAGCAGCAGCTGTTGGTGGGAGGCCCTGCCACTATCCACTTGCTCTATTGCCATCTCGTTGGTGAGACACTGGCTTCCAGAAGGGATGGCACCATCTACAGGACACCTTGCTAGCTCAGCATCGGAGGTTCCTCAACTTGCCCAGGTAACCCCACTTCCCAGACATGTATGGCTCCTGCTCTGGTCCCCTAAACTCCCCATTCTGCTCATACCCTGCCAAGCCAGGGACTTACTCTCTCCAGATAAGTTTGTCATTACTCCCATAACCTCCTCTCAAGAACATCCTTACTATTTCTCTTCTCCTAGCAGAAATCGACCCCACCCTCAGGTCCAACTCCTAGTCTTAACTCCTTCAGCTGTAGAGTCTGCGTCTCTTTCAGAAAGGATCCTCCAGGCTTGGTGTTTTCTCTGGCTACAGCGCCAAGCCTCCTGGTGGAGACTCCGTGGCTGGGAAGGCAGGGATTGATTCTTCTCACTGAGCCACACTCCCTGGCCCACAGGATGAGGAAACAGATACTGAGGGGGAAGGGTGAGGCGGGCCATTGGGGATGAAGATAACACAGGGAAGAACTTGTACGGGAATCCAGGTCTGGAGAGACTGGGACTGCCTGGAGAGAGAGTGGGCCCCTACAGATTTCTTTGCATTTTCTTGCCCCAGCCTTGTGAATGAACACATGGAACGTGGCTTGGGCAGAGTGCAGTGTGTGAGACCATGCTGGTGAATAGCGATGCTAAGCCGATGTGCTTAGGGCTTTGGGAAGGTGCTTTCAGCTTTGCAGCAGAGGAACCTTATTGAGGGAACTGTTGTACTGATCTGAAGCCGAAGCCTTGGGGTTTTTGATGGCTTCCGTTAGGTACTTGAGCAGAGGTGTGCAATTGGATGGGGGAGTCGAGGGGATTTATAAAGCAAGGATGTCTGAAGGAGAGGTTTGGAGTCCACATATTCTGTGCTGTGGTGATCTCTTTCCAGCAGAACTGAGGTTTATTTGTGGAAATGGATTTGAAATATGTATTGCTATATGATATTTGCACACGCAAGACTGGCTTGTTTCACTTATAATTATGGACTCAAGCCACATCCATCTCCCTATAAATGTCTCAACTTTATCCTCCTTCATAACCAAGTAGTACTCTATTGTGTAAAAATACCACATCTTTTTTATCCATGCCTCAGTTGATGGGCATTTGGGTTGTTTCCAAGATTTTGCTATGACAAACTGTGCTGCTATACACACAGGTGCACATATATCGCTGTGGTACGATGTTTTTAATTCCTCTGGGGAAATACCCAAAAGGGGAATAGCTGGGTTAAACGGGACCTCTAATCCTAGTTTTTCATCATATTGTCTCCCTACTGTAAGAAGCTGAAAGAGTAAATAAGACCCAAAATGTACAATAGGTATTGTGAGATGGGAAGAAAATGCTGAAAAGGAAAGAGAAACTGGAATGGGGAAAGGAGGAAAGAAGGAAAGGGAAAGGAAAAAAATATATATACACACAAGATAGTGAAGATAGGTATACCACTAATTGCTATTAGCTCATTGAAAGGACTGGTATATGTCTACATTGCTTGATCTGATTTTCATGCTTGTATCTTGCATTATGAGCAACTGCTTTGAAGATAACAATGAGCAATGTACTGAACATTGTTACTCTCCTACAGTCTTGTTTTGAAATTTTGTACCATTGTTTTTATTGTTTTTCTTCTCTTTAAAATTAAAAAAAAGAAAAAAAAAAGAACAAAAAGGGCCGAAAAAAAAAAACAAAAGGCAAAAAACAAGGCAAGGCCTGGGGGAGAGAAAAAATCTTATCTTATCCTTACTTGGGAGCTTGGGCAGTTTCTCTGAGGCCAGGCTCTAAACAGCTAACTTCCAGATGACCTAGTCACACAGCATGTGTGAATTCAAGGGCTTACTGGGCTTGAATAGGAGGTCGGAGCTCCTGCTATTTTTAAAAGAAGGACCCTGGGGGCTTTGGAAGTGGCTTTGAAAGGACACGGGAGGCGTTTCATTTGGGTGATATAAATGCTTGGGGTAGGGGAGGGGAGGAGGGCCAGGGCGGGCTGAACGTCACTTATCATTGGAAGAGTGCAAGGTCATTTGAAGGGTTAGAAATTTGATCCCAACTTAAAATATGCCCCGTGTTCAGGAGCCACCATCAGGCAGTCACCCCACTTTGTCAATTCTGCTTTGCTTGAGCCGGGCTCAGAGAATCGCTCTGCCTGTCACTGAAGCGTGGCCCAGCACCCAGGTGGAGGAGACGTGGGCACAAGGACAAATATCCCACCGACCTGACCTGCTGTGCCCTGAGAGTAACCTCGGTGCCCTTTACCTTCAGAGTGGCCCTGGCCACTGTCACCTCCGCTTTCAAATCCCTGCTGTGCCGCTGCTGCTACCTTGGGGACTTGGGAGCCGTTATTACCCCCTGTGTACTTGGATTTCTCCTCTTGAAAAATGAAGGAAAAGAACCCTTTCAACTTCGGTGGGTGGTTGTGTGGACTGAGCAAGCTAGTTCATGTGAAACTACTTGGAACAGTTCCTGGCACAGAGAAAGTGTTCAGTACACGCTTCTTGTCACTCCTCGGAGCGTCCGGGGTGGGCACGCCCGCAGCTGTGGGAGAACTTCCCAGAGGAGCCCGCTGAGAGCGCAGGAGCTTGGGGCTCAGGAAGCCTGAAGAGCCAAACACCTGTGGGCTGTCCACTTCCCCACCGCAAACTCTGGGAAAGGCTCTTCAGCTCTTTCTCAAGCAGCCCTTGTGGCCCATCCCGAACCCTTGTTTAAGATGCTGGAGGCATCTGCCTGTTCTCCTCCTTCTCAACACCTGTCCAGGTCAGTCTCCTGCTCCAGCCCTTCCGAGGCTCCCTATGGCCTCTGGTTAGAAAAAGCCCCGGCAGTTTTTCATGAGGCTCTTACCTCCCTCTCCCATCACTCTGCCTCACACGGCAGCCGCAGCCTGAAGGAAGTTCGTGCCCTGACCACACCGTGCTCTGGGTGCTTTGGTGACGGGGAGCCCAGAGGCAGAGGCCGAGAGCCGGGCTCTGCTGGCCGCGTGTCTGCATGGGAGCTGCCCTACTTGAGGGTTTTGGCGGTATTCTCAGCCTGGCACACGCTGCAATGAGCTCGGAGGCAGGTGGTTTCCGTCAAAGCAAGCCTGCAGACTCAAAGCTCACTTTCTCCAGAGAGCACGTCCTGATTTGGGGAGCAGAACACAGAGGCTCTCCAGGTGTGTGGCACTTCTTATGGCTCTTAGGACTCGGGGTGGGTCACTTAATGTCATGGGGTTGTGAGGCTTTTCCATTTCCTCATCTGTGAAAAGGGGTAACAGCTGAGCTGCGGCGTGGGTGACTTTCTGCTTGTTTTGGTGGCACGGTGGAGGAGCCCCCTTCCAAAGCTGGGGGCCTCTGCTGTGTGAGCCTCTGGGGAGGGGGGCCCTGGGTTCCACCAGCAAGCTGTGGCTCTCCCCACAGTGAGGAGTGAGCTGCTCAGGTCAGGCCCTTCACATCTGGGGGTTGTGCGGAGGTGCAGGCGTAGCTGGGCTCAGGAGAGGGGGTGGGGACAGCAGTGACCGTGGGAAGCGGAGTGGTCACCAGGTATCCAGGTCAGACTCCCTGCAGCACGAACTTGGTCTCTTCCTGCTATGTGCCTGGTCAGTTCAGGAAGTCACTGCTTCCCTCCGGGTTAGGCTCCATGTGTGTTCTTAAATTGCCCAGAGTTAGTTCTAGGAGATGGAACCAAGCCTTGGCCCAAATATTCTCCTGGTTCAGAGGGCAGTGGGGACAGCAGGATGTTTAGGACTACGGTGAGGTTGGAATAAACCTAGGCATGTTAGGGGCTGAAGCCCTGGGACAGGGATCATAGCACCTACCGCACACAGGTTTAAACAAAAAGGTAAATGATACTAATTAAAATGACCAAGTCAGTGATATTAGCAAATATCAGCTATTGCATTGTGAGCTTGAGCTATTGTGAATGTGCTTTGTAAAGGACAAGGAAAATGTAAGGCATCCTCTATCTTACCAATAGGGAGCCCTCCCACACTTTATCCTCCATGTTTTACGTTTAGCTTAGAAGCATAATTGTCTCAACAGAACTGGGGTCAGGCACGTGTCCATTACAGTAGCCCATCAGCACGTAGGAGCAGGCAATTATTTTCAGCACCATCCTCTTGGTGACAGGGCACAAGCCTCCTGTGTCATCTCTACCTGGGGGCCTGGAGGGACAGAGAGACTCTCTTGGTTGGGGCTCGGGCTTCCTGAGGGGCAGAGACTCACTTGCTCTCCAGCTCTGCACCTCAACACCCAGCCCAGGAAGGGAGCCACAGCTCACATCTGCTTGTTTGGCTCCTTGGTCCTCATAATGGAGGCGAATTGCAGAGCCAGTGTGAGACCAGCCCTGCCAGCTGCTCGCACCCCCGGTCTGGGCTGCCTGTCTGGGTGGTGGTGTTGCCCTCCCCCCCACTGCCATAGCCCTGTGCTTTTTGGCACTGCCAAAGACCTCCTGGCCCAAGAGCCTGAAATGGGCCCCTGGGGACCAAAAGCTTTGCTCCCCAGCCCTCTTCCCTGGCTCCTACTCCCCTTGAACTGCCTCTCTGGGAAAGGGGCACTTTGAAAACACAATATGAATTCCAGCATTAACAAATATTGTTTTGGAAGAACACGTTGCTGATTGATATCAAAGCAGAGCCATTAGCCTCATAAACTAAGGCAAGTAACCAGGGACCCAGGCAGAGGCTGCCTTCCAGGAGATGCCAGGTCCTCTGCCTCTGCAGGGAGTGGTCTCTGAATCACAGAGTGTGGTCTCTGAATCACAGGGCGGCCTGCAGGGAGGCCTCTGCTCCTGGGGGCAGTGGGTCTGCAGGGAGGAGTTGGGGCCTGAGCTGGGGCGCTGGAGGTGGCATAGGCCCACCCACTGGAGTTACGGAGCAGCCTGCACTCCCTTCAGCTGTTTGGGCATCAGTTGCCTCATCTGTAAAAGGAAGAGCTGAGACCTGACAATCCCCGAGCTCGCCCCTAATCCTGGCTTTCCTTTGGGTGGTGTCTGTCTCCCACAAGGGCCTCTGAGGTATCAGACTGTGGTTCTGGGCTTCTGAGGTTTGCACCAGTAGGGAGAATGGAGCATTTGCTATTGAAATAGCTGATGAGGAAGTTAGTATAAAAGCTTGTGTGTTTTCTTCCAAGCGGACAGCTAAACAATGCAGAGCCTGGTGGTGGGAGTTAGTGCAGACACACTGAGGCTGTAGAGAGGAAGCCACGGCCAGATTTTCTTGCCAGCGGGCAGTTCAGCTTGGAACTTATCCTGTTAAACGGCACTTGGACTCATCCTTGTCACCTGTGTGCACCTGGTGGGGAAGCCAAAGAGCAGGCATTATTTTCAGTGCCCATTTGATGACCATTTTAGTGAAGCAGACCACAGGCTTGCGGGGGAACACACCTGTCGAGGGTTGTTGGTTCATTCACCCACATCACCAATCCTTGTGCACTGCCGTCTGCTCTGGGCTGTCTAACTCCCCTCCGAGGCACCCCCTTTCATCCTGGATGCAGAGTTCTTCCTCACAGACCCCAGGGCACTGGCTCTGTCCTATCCCTCTAGATTTGGAAGACAAATCTCTCTGAAATGACACCTCTGAACATCCATTTGCCCCGGAAGTCACCTTTACCCTTCCTTCCTCACCTGCTTGTCCAAGTAGTGTTGCTGTGTCGGTCTCCATATTCCCACAGCCATTATCATGCTGACATCTCCGGACTCACCAGGACCAGCTCAGTAGTTTTGCCACCGGCCCTCTGCCTCCTTCTCCAGCTTTCATCCTGCACAGTTGCCGGGACAGTCCTTTGGCCTAGAAAGAGCCTTGAGATCCGGCAGAGACTGGTGCTTCCGTCTGTGCTTTGCCACTCAGTCAAGTACTGACAGCCAAGCTAAGTTTTCTTCACCTTAATTCCAGGTCTATAGAAGGCAGAGAATAGTGATTCCAGAGAGTACTTGTGGTGGTTTAATGGATAAAGTATGGGATAGGGTTCTCTAGTGTCAAAGGTGAGAGAGTCCACCATGGCCATCTGCACACTGGAGAGCCAGAGTCTCCAGTAGCTGCTCAGCCCAGGGGGCTGGAAGCTTCCGAACAAGAGAGCCCAAGAGCAGCTGCAGGCTGAGGCGAAGGCCTGCAAGCTTCCTGGACAGTCGCTGGCGTGACTCCGTGCTGAAAGACAGAGGAAGCTGCAGTCTGAGGCCCTCAGGTATGACAGATGTACCTGCTCAGTCGGAATCAACTTTGCTAGCACAGGCAGCTTCCCTCTTCCTTTCACTTTTTTGTTCCACCTCAGCAAGTGTATTGGATGGTGCTGCTCACAGTCAGGGCTGGTCTTCCCTTCTCAGCTCACTGGGCACCACGCCAGTCGTCTCTGGAGATAGCCCTGCAGACACTTGCAGACGTGTGCTTTATCAACGTCCCGGGCTTCTGTTATGGCTTAGATCTAAGCGTTCCCCCAAGGCTCATGTGCTTGGGAGGTGATCGGGTTATGGGGGTGCTGTGCTGTACTCAGCGGTGGACCCAGCCAGTGACAAGTTCATAGCTGAATGTGCTGCTAGGAGGTGGGGCCTGGCGGGAAGTGTGTCACTGGGGGCCTGACGTGGGAGGGTGCATTCCTGTCTCTGGCTCCACACTTCTTTCTCTTCTTCCTGGCTGTCACAGGCTGAGCATCTTTCCATGACCCCTACACGATGCCGTTTCTTCCTGGGAGCCAGCCAACCACGGACTATAAAAATAAACTTCTCCTCCTTAAAGTTGTAGGTGTTTGGGATTGTGTCCGGGGACTGGAAAGTGATGAACACAGCATCTTTCAATGCAGTGAAGTTGATCATCAAGATTAAATGTCACAGATAACATTTTAAAAAATGTGTACTAAGAAGCCATAAGTAACCACCCATACATAGTGGGTCCCTTTCCCTTACCCTGTTCTCCTGTCTCTTCCAAATTTGTCAGGTGATGTAATTTAAAGTCATTTAGTTGCACTGTTTCGTTATCTACACTTTTCCACTATGGCACCAAGACCTAAACATAATAACGTACATTTGATCAGAGTTTGACTCACAAAGTAGAACATTCATCCATCCATTCATTCATTCATCCATCCATCCATCCATTCCTTCATCCGTTCGTTCATCTGTCCAATATCATGGAGCCCCTGCCACGCCCCAGGGATTAAGATAGCTGCTGAAAACAGAAAAGCAAAGAAGGTGAGCAGGAGTTTCTGTCCTAGTGGGGGCAGCAAGCCAATGCAGCATGTAAAGTACTGAAGCGCAGTGAGCTCGGGCCTCTTGGAGCACAGGGATCATGCTGGGAAGTCGCCCTGGATGCAGCTGGAATGAGACATGGGGCTGTGGAGATGGAGGGTATCCAGATCCTAGAGGGACCCGTGTCCCTTGCTAAGGAATTTAGAACTGAGTTTGAGGTCAGTAGGGAGCCTTAAACAGAGAGTGACATCAGTTTTTGTTCTAGGAGAATACTTTTGCTCTCTTCAGAGAAAGGATGGAGAAGTGAGCTGGAGGCAGCTAGACTAACCGGGCCTCGAAGCAGGGGCTTGGATCTGAAAGGGTGGAGCCTTGCTGGCAGCAGTGATGGTGCGCGCGTGAGGGAGGGGCCAGCTAAGAGGGCCGCGTGACAGGAGCAGTGAGCAAGTGACAAGAGTGCCTGCTCCTCCGGGTACCTTGTCTTGGAGGCGAGAGTGGACCTGGGAGGCCTGGGGATCTAGATGAGGACTGCGGATGCACCCTGACTTGCAGAGGGACCTGGAGACAGAGGCATGCTTGGGTTTGTAGCCAGCATCACACGTGGAAAGAAGACTCTTGACTGGAAGTGAGGGCACAAAAGGGGCGGGATTCTTACTCACAGGCAGAGGAACTGGCCATGGGCTGCAAGTCTGAAGGACGCTGGTGCTTCTCTTATACCGTGTGTATCGTGCCACTAGAAGGGTTGTGAGCAAACGTGACTTCTTCAGGGTGTCCGCAGAGGTCCAGCTCAGAGGGGCTTCGGGCAAGGGCTGGATGTAGTGGGATGAAGAGAAGGCAGGGCTGGAGCTGCAGTCTGACGGGACTCCTTACCACCTGCCCTGCTGTCAGTGAGCCCCTGGCTTTCCCTTGGCTTCCTTTAACATCTTGAAGAAAGTGCAAGTCAAAAGACCCAGCATGCCTTCTGCTACCATGTGTGGGGACTGGGATTCTGTCACCTAGCACACTGTGAGATGGGTACTAGTTAGGAGACTGTGGGCATCAGAGGCAGCGACAGAAAAGGAGAGAAAGGGCTTCTGAGAAGATCCACAGGCTGTGGTACATAGCAGACATCCCATTCCAGGTGCTTGTCACTGGCCCCCAGCTCCAGGAAAGGAAGCTTATTCATTTTTTTTTTTTTTTTTTTTTTAAAGCAGTGCAGCTCCTTGGGACTTGACACACGAAGCAAGAAGACAGAATCATTCAGAAGGATTAAATCAGAGCAGGAGGAAACCAATGATGGCCAACTAGGGACAACAGCATGGGAGGGACTCTTCAAACCGTGCGCCAAGGGAAGCAGGTATGGGGCGGGGTGGGGGTTAAAGAGACAGCCTGATAAAAACCCCGGGGAAAACGGGTGTAGAAGGTGCTATCTCAATGTAATAGAAGTCACTTAGGACAAACCTCCTGCCAACGTCATGTTAAATGGGGAAAGGCTGAAAGGATTCCTTCTAAATTAGGAACAAGACAAGGTTGTCCACTATCACCACTCCTGTTCAATATAGCACTTGAGACATTAGCTAGAACAATCAAGAAAGAAAAAGAAAGAAAAGGGATACATATAGAAAAAAAATAGAAGTCATTTTATCCTTATTTGTAGGTGACATGATCCTTTACATAGAAAACCTTACAAATTCAACCAAAAGATTCCTAGAACTAATCACCAAGCTAAATAACATAGCAGGACACAACATCAACACACAGAAATTCTTGTGCACCAACAGCATTCTTGTGCATCAATAATGTTTTTTTTTTTTTTTTTTTTTTTTGGTTTTTCTCCGGTACCGGGAACCGAACTCACGACCTTGCTCTTGCCAGGCAGGAGCTTTCGCCGCTGAGCTAAATCCCCAGCCCCTTTGTGCACCAATAATGAACCCGTCAAGAAAGAAATCAGGAAATCAATACCATTCGCAATAGTGTGAAGACAAATTAAATACCTAGGAATTAACTTAACCAAAGAACTGAGAGATTTTCATAATGAAAACTACAGTACTCTAAAAAAGGAGATTGAAGAGGATATCAGAAAATGGAAAATATCTCCTCTTCTTGGATGGGATGGGCAGAACCAATATTGTCAAAATGACCATGTTTTCAAAACTGATCTATCTATCTATCTATCATCTATCAATCAATCTATCTATCTATCTATCTCGCAGATCTAGAAAAAAATCCCCAAATTTATATGCAACTAGAAGAGACCTAGAGTAGCCAGAGCAATCCTGGGCAATAAGAGCAAAGTAAGAGCCATCACAGTCTCAGATTTCAAGTCATATTACAAAACTGCAGTCATAAAAAAGACAGAAAAACAGACATGAAGATCAGAGGAACAGAACAAAGGGTGTAGAAACAACCCCAGACACATATCATCTGATCTTTGACAAAGGGGTCAAAATATACCCTAGAGGAAAGATAGACTGTTAAAAAATGTTGTTGGGAAAACTAGTTATACACATGCAGAAGATTAAATCTAGATCCATATTATTACCGTGTGCTAAAATAAAATAAAAATGAATGAAAGACCTGCATATTAAAACAGAAACACTTACCCTGCTGGAAGGCAAAACAGGTAAAGCTCTGGAACACATAGGCGTAGGACTTTTTGAATAGAACCCCAGTTACACAAGAAATAATGCCAAGAATCAACAAACTGGTTTATGTCAAAATCAAAAGCTTCTCCACGCAAAGGAAATAGACAACAAAGTGAAGAGAAAAGCCACAGAATGGAATATTTTTTCCAGCTACTTCTCAGACAGAAGACTAATATCTAAAATTTATAAAAAACTCAAAAAAATTACAACTCCAAAGTAAACCCAATCAAAAAATGGGCAAGTGAAATGAATAGACACTTCTCAGAAGAAGGACAAGTAGCCAATAAATACATGAAATGATGCTCACCATTCCTGACCACTAGAGAAATGCAAATTAAAACAACACTGAGACTTCATCCTTCTTCACACAGAAAGGCCATCATCAAGAAATCAAATAATAAGAAACGCTGGAGGCTACAGGGAAAAAGGAACCCCTCTCCGCTTTTGGTGAGAATGTAAACTAGTGCAACCACTGTGGTAATCAATATGGAGAGTCCTTAAAAAAACCACTAAAACTAGAAATTCCATTTAACCCAGCTATTCCCCTTCTAAATATCTTCCCCCCAAAGTTAAAGGTATAATATCACAGTGATACATGCATGCCCATGTTTATAACTGTACAACTCATAAAGGTTAAGTCTTGGAAGAAGCCTATGTATCCATCCGAAGATGGTAGGATGAAGAAAATGTGTTATTTATACTTGATGGGGTACTGCTCTGCCATAAAGGTAAAGTATGAGTCTTTTGTACAAAAGTAGATGCACCTAAAAACCATAATATCAAGTTATGGAAGCCAGACACACAAGCTTAAGTATTCATTCTTCCTTTTATATGAGAGACTCAAAGTATAAGTAATTTAAAGATCAAAATAGAAGACGGGTAATAGGAACCAGGAAGATAATCTTTGCAGATGGACTGGGATCTAGAGGTGCAGGGAGGGGAGGAGGAGAGGGGAAGAATTAAGACGCGTTGTGTACAAGTACTAGCTCCCAAGATGAGTGTAACCACTGTGTATTGCAAATAGCTACAAATAAAAAAGAAAAAAAAAAACCAATATATTTACATGCTAAAAATAAGCAAATAAAAAATAGAGCAAGAACCCGGAATCAACAGGTGGAAGGCACCATCCAACTCCCAGATGAAATGGTCAGCCGGCGGAAATACTATCATCTCCAAACCAGGATGAGGGTTCAGGAGGAAGGTTTGGGCTCCAGGAGACTAGGACATTGGCTCTCAGCTGGAGGAGAAGTGGGAAACGGCAGGTAGGAAAGAGGTAGGTGCAGACCAGTTGGGCACAGGCTGAGGGAAGGAGGGAACTTCCAGGTAGGACACAGTCTCTCCCTGTGTGGCCCCAGCTGAGAGTGTACTAGGCAGAAATACTTTAGATCCCGCCCAGGGGCGGAGCCTGGGCAGTCTTAGGACAGAGGTAGGTGTCCAGCCTCTCTTTGGTCTGTGAGGAGTCCACTTTGAGGGGTCCTGCTTATCCCAGGGGGGAACATTATTGTCTTAAATTACTTTCCTCATTGCTGAGACAAAGTATCCAACGCCCAAAGTTAAGGGGGAAAGGTTTATTTAGCTACAATCTGTAGAGGTTTCAGGCCGTAGTTGGCTGGCTCTAAGGCAGGGTGCAGACGGCAGAGGGGCAACAGTTCACAGAGAGAAGAAAAGCCCGGGTCCGGATGGATTCACAACTGAATTTTACAAGCAATTTAGGGAAGATTTAACACCAATTCTTCTCAAACTCTTTAATGAAATTGAAAGGGAAGGAATTCTCCCCAACTCATTCCTGGAGCAAGGTATTATCCTGATACCCAAACCAGAGAAAGATCCAACCAAAAAAGAGAATTACAGGCCAATCTCCCTAACGAATATAGATGCAAAAATTCTCAATAAGATACTAACAAACAGAATACAGGTCATCAAGAAGATTATATACCACGACCAAGTGGGATTCATACCAGGCATGCAGGATGGTTCAATACACGCAAATCAATTAATGTAATACACCATGTCAATAGAGCCAGGGACAAAAATCACATGATCATCTCTGCTGATGCAGAAAAAGCCTTCAACAAAGTCCAACACACATTCATGATGAAAACCCTACAGAAAATAGGAATAGATGGAGTTTACCTCAAGCTGATCAAGCCATCTATGATAAACGAACAGCTAACATCATACTAAATGGTCAAAAATTGAAAGCTTTCACTTTTTTTTTTTTTTGGTTTTTCTCCGGTACCGGGAACCAAACTCACGACCTTGCGCTTGCCAGGCAGGCGCTTTTGCCGCTGAGCTAAATCCCCAGCCCCGAAAGCTTTCACTTTAAAATCAGGAACAAGACAAGGATGTCCACTGTCACCACTCCTATTTAATATAGTTCTGGAAATATTGGCTAGAGCAATTGGACAAGAGAGAGAAATAAAAGGAATAAGGATAGGAAAGGAAGAAGTGAAATTATCATTATTCGCAGATGAGATGATACTCTATAAAGAAGACCCCAAAAACTCCACCAAAAGGCTCATGGATTTAATAACCAAATTCAGTAGCATAGCTGGATACAAAGTAAACACTCAAAAATCAATAGCATTCCTGTACACAAGTAATAAACAGACTGAGAGAGAAATTAGGGAAATCACACCTTTCACAATAGCATCTAAAAAGATGAAATACTTAGGAATCAATCTAGCAAAAGAAGTAAAAGATCTATACATTGAAAATTATAGTACTCTGGAAAAAGAGATCGAAGAGGGTATCAGAAAATGGAATGATATTCCTTGCTCATGGACAGGAAGAACCAACGTTGTGAAAATGGCCATACTCCCAAAATTGTTGTATCGAAGAATTATTTTCTTATTCCCTATAATGGTTTGAGCAATCTTTCATTCTTACATCTGGTGATCTGAGCAATGTAGTTGAGGACAGCTGTATGTAATGTAACAACCACTATTGATTCGTATTATTTTGTCTTGAGATTCTGTACCACTTTGAATGTTCTTGCTTTGATTTGTTTATGTGTGTGATACTGGTATGCTGCTACTGTTCTATTTCTTTGTTTGTTTCTCATTTACTACTCTCTTTAAAATAAAAAAAAATAAATCTTAAAAACGCAGTGTTGAATGAAAAAGTGAGATGCATGGTACAATACCACCCTCTTCTGCTTTCTTTTCAGAATTGATGTTTATTAGCACATTTGCTGTGTATGATTACACTCACGGGAGGGGGTTTCATGTCACTCTTCGTGACAAAAGCACAGGTACTCACCAAACACGTGAAGTGGCTGTCGGCCACAGGATGGGATTCCAAGGACACTTGAATGGGTCCATGTAGGTGGAGTGCAGGAGGCGGATGAAAGGAAAACGGCTGCAGCGCAGCTACAACATCAGGTGACCATCAGGACTTAGAGAGCAGGATTAACTCCCAGCCCAGGCCTTCACAAGGGGGCCATTTCCATTCAAACCCACTTGAGATACTGAGGACTCCAGGGGAGGTGGCTCAGAGAGGAGAAGCCTGACTCCGAGGTCCCCTCCACGGACCCATTCCCGGGGTGTGAGCAAGACAAGGGTGAGGGTGAGTGTGCATCTTGTCAACTCCCGTTCACTTTGAAGGCTGTTCCACGTGCAAAATTAAAACAGGCCGACGTTCTTCTTGCTGTTCTAAGAAAGGTTTCTGGGCCGCCTTTCTTCACTGCTATTTCCTGTCCCTACTAAGTTTAACATAACCCTAAGCAGCACGAAATGAGGGGGAGCAAAAGCTACTTAGACACACACACACATAAAGCAGCTCCGCTTGCAGATGTTCCGCAGCTTCTGGGTGTTTTCCCCCATCAACACTCAGTGTGGTGGATGTAGTAAATTGCGTGCATTTTTGAAAGATGCAGCTGATAGCAGGGGATTTTTGCAGACTTCATGGAAGTAGGTGTCCAGGGAGTGTGAGTGAGTGTGTGTGTGTGTGTGTGTGTGTGTGTGTGAGAGAGAGAGAGAGAGAGAGAGAGAGAGAGAGAGAGAGAGAGAGAGAGAGACCTGGAAGGGTGCTGAGCGTGGGCGGCTCCCCCATCAGCTGAGACTCCTAAGGGGTGCAAGAGTTTACACACAGCCAGCCTGGAATGTGGGCCTGGGTGCGGGCCCTCGGGAGGTAGATCTGCAGCACAGGCTTCCCTGCTGTGGCTCTGGAGCTCCTCGCCCTTGAGCGGGAAGAGGAGCCGGTGCTGGCAGCTCCAGACAAGCGTGTGTTGCTCTGCTCTTTCCCTTCTACAGGAGGAGAGCTGGGCTGGGTAACAGAAGCCTGCCTAGACCCGGCTATGCCTGTGCCCCACTGCGGGAGGGTGGTGAGGCTCTGTGAGATTCAGGAAGTCCACACCGGAGAAACGCCCTCCAGCCTGTGAAGTGCCCTGTGGCTGGGGGGGAGGGCGCCCTCCTGCCTTCCCAGCTGTACTTTCTCTGAACTGCACAGGCTCCTGGGTCCCGTCCTCCTCCTGGGTGGGAAGTTATGCTCTTTCCAGCTATGGAAAACCAGGCGATTGGTCCTAGATAATTCCCGTGTCACCAAGGAACTGACATCTAATTAACGGCTCCTTACGGGAGTGATTTTAGGGTGCAGGAGGCGACGTTTGGGGTTTGGTGGAGAGCCCACAGCGGTGGTGTGGCTGCCCTGAGGCTTGGCCTCTGTGGTGTTGTGACGCCGAGCGAGGGTGATTGGGCCTCCTCTGAAAATCCACTTGCCTGTCTCCACCCCCTCCCCAGTTATTCTGTGGTGATGTTTGGGAGACACCTGGAGAGACACCTGGCTTTCCTTGCTGCATGTATTGGTCCACTTTGTCTTTGATGCTCCCTGAATTTTTAAACACCTTCCTGCAATTGCTGTGAACACGAGTAACTTTCAAGTTCATACCTTTGAAAGCCAAAAGCTTTCCATCTTTTCAACGCTGGCAGCCCCACGTAAGCTGGGATACAGTTTGGGCTTCATCCGTCAGAACCTTGGTAGCTGCTCTCTCTCTCTCTCTCCCTGCCCCCCGCCTCTTGAGCTGCTATTGTCGGGGTGTGGGAGCTCTCTATTAATAGACTAAAGATGTCATGTCACCAGTGATTTTTCCCAGTCACGCAGTTGACTGGGCTCAGCTGTCCCTTTTCGCCTTGGCAGTTTCAGCTGGGGGTGCACGGCTGCTAGGAGGCTGCTAATATTTTTGAGCTGCCTGGAAATGCAAAAGCCATGAGCGGCAAAGTTATTTCTGACCAATCGACGGCAGCTTCTTCTGACCTCACTGGGCCTGGGTGAGGGGAGAGCTGAGCAGCACGGGCCAGCTTCTCGTCCTCTCTTCTGGTGCCCTCCTCATGGCGGCAGCGGGACCTGCTGTCTTTGGAGGCCTTGCATTCCTGCTTCTGGGCAGCCTGGCTGGTGGGGCCTTCTCAGCAGATGAAGAGGGTTCAGTTGCTTCTGTTTGATTCACTTCAGCAAATGCATGCTCTCCTTCTCCTGTCTGTACAAAGCACACAGAACATGGGGCTTCTCTTGTCTTTTAAATTAGGAATAAGAAATATGCTTGCTGTGGAGACAGTAAGCAGAACAGTCACCTTCTCTTCCCTTCAGCGCTCACCCCCACTGCGTATGGAAGCTTGCAGTGGGTACCCAATGATGCAGGACTTTAATCGAAGAAAAATGAGATAGTATAACATCTACTCGCTGAAATTTCTGCCACCACCACCCCCAATCGTATAACATACAATTTTCTAGGTTCATTGCCCTGGTGTGGTGCTGCACGCCTGTCATCCCAGCACTTGGGAGGCTGAAGCAAGAGGACTGCTGCAAGTTTGGGGCCACACAGTGAGTGCAAGGCCAGCCTGAACTGCATAGTGCGACCCTGTCTCAACAAACTAAAAAAAAAAAAAAATTTTTCATAACATATAAATCAGGCTCATTTCCTTTCTAATGCCTGCATTTGATTACATATTGTCAGTATAATACATAGTACATTTCTGATGTATATTGAAGTTATTTTAGGTGATTTTCTTTTCCTCCTCAGCTATGCGTTCTGGGAGGGTAGCAGGCTTATGATATGGGCTTTGGAAGCACACGGATTTGGATCTCACCTTACAGATGTTCTCTAAGCTCCTTTACTCTCAGTGTCTTTAGCTGTAACACAAGGAAAGCCATAGGCTCACAGTGACACAGTAAGGACCAAAGGAGATGGTGTAGACCAGGTGTCTCTAAGACAGAAGTAACTTGGGCTTTGCAAGTCCTCTTCCAGCTTGCCAGAATCCTCACTGCCACACTGCAGGGACAGGGTTCTCCATGGCCTGGTGCTCTCAGGAGGAAGTCATCTGAGAAATGCAGACCTTACTTGACCTGAGTCTACAGTATCTGCAGGCAGACACAGCTTCCTTTCAAGGGGCGGAGCCTGGGGGAGTCCTGGGCAGTCTTCAGACAGAGGTGGGTGGTCAGCCTCTCTTTGGTCTGTGAGGAGCCCACTTTGAGGGGTCCTGCTTATCCCAGGGGGGAGCATTGTTATCTTAAGTTACTTTCTTTGTTGCTGAGACAAAATACCCACCACCCAAAGTTAAGGGGGGAAACGTTTGTTTAGCTACAATCTTTACAGGTTTCAGGCCATAGTTGGCTGGCTCTAAGGCAGGGTGGCACATGGCAGAGGGGCAACAGTTCATAGATAGAAGACAGCAAAATCAACAAGGGAGAGAGAGAGAGCAAGCCTCTTTTTGTCCCCTTTATTGTATGCAGGGTACTCACTTGGCCAGCTGCAGCACTCACACCCTGAATCCCATCATTAAACCACGAATCAGCCACAAACTCTAGATTCAGCTGCCTCCATAAAGCCCAACCCCCTGTGAGTGCATGAGGCTTTGCGGGGACATCCAGACACAAACCATAACAATTGTGTTGAGAGAAATGGAGCAAGGCTGCTTTGGTGGAGGGGTCATATGTGAGGTTCTCATGCAAGAAGCACCCGGCTTAGGCATGGTTTCGGGCACTGGCATAAAGGCCGGTGGGCTGCATTCATCACCACCCTTGGTGTGAGTGACAGAGTCTCTGGCAGTTCCCCTAAGAGCTGTTGTCATCTCCCTAGGTGGCCTTGAGTCTCAGTGATTGTAACTCAAGCACCCTAGATGTGCCCTTGCTCTGCCGGAGCTCAGTGTCAAGTAATTTAGAGCACAGACTCTGACTGTTGGCCCCCTGCCAGCTTGCTTACCCACAAAGCAGGGCATTTTTACCCCTCCTGCTTGTGTGGGCCATTTTCCCCAGTGCCAAGGCATCACCATGGTGATCTGGTACCCCAGGGCCTGGGGGAGCCATGGGTTTTCCCACAGTCTCTCTTTTTCTCCCAGGAGGCCTGGGGCCATCAGAGAAGTGAGCCCTTGGTGGCCTCCTCTGCTGGCCCAGCAGTTTCAGGCTGTCTGCGCAGATTAGGTCCCTGCCACCAGTGTGCACAGACTGATCTGTGTGCTCGGAGTGCCTTGGATCAGCGATCCAAATAGTGAACACAGCCTGCTTTCCGCAGCTTGTTCATGGTGAAATGAGACAAATATGAACAGGGCGATGAGTTTTCATCAAGCTAAGCACATTCAGTGTATGGGGATGTTCTCTACCTTTTGAGATTCAGAGGTTACGTTTTGATATTAAAATGCCCTTTCAAGATGTCGGTGGTTTCTATTACAAATAGAAGCATTTAATTTTTATTGATATTTTAAAATTAATTTCTGTGATTTTTTTTTTTTAGCCCAAGAAGTCTGTTCATATTTCCATTGGATGTTAATGCTTTTCATATTGACTTGCAAGATATTTTATACTTGAAAAACATTAACCCCTAAGAAAATATTTGCAAAAATATCACACAGCCCGTAATCATGCATACTTTTTGATGTGTACTTTTCATCTTTTGCATTACCCTCGGTTCTTTTCACAATTTAGATAATAGAAGCAGTAAAAACAAATCTAACTGCACTCTAAATTTTAACAAAAAATTTTTCTTCTCTAAAAGTTGTATGATTTGTTTTCACTTAACCCTTACTAAGCCTTAAATTTATTGGCCCCCCCTTTCCTACCTGTCTTTATACCTTTACTTGGGCAGATTAAGAAGTAAGCAGCCCTTGGTAGAAAGAGTTTCAAAGCTTTAATTGTCTGTGAAATTCAAATGTTTGGCTAACACTGCTGTAGGAGACATAATTCCCGTCTTGCCTTCTTGGGAACACTGGTCACAATGCATAGTCTCATCAGTTCAGGCACCTCATGGAATGCAGGGAGTGGCTGAAGCTAGAAGTTTGTCACAGGTGTGGGGGCAAGACAACCCCAAAGTGCTTAAAACAATCAAGCTATCTCAGTCCTGAGAAAAGCATCTTGTCTGAGACAGTTCCAGTCACTAGTTTCTAGGCAATCCCGTGTCTCATGATACTAACTTTGTCAAATGTATAAAAAAGCACCCCTGTGGTGGGAGTTCCAGTTCCTCTTCTCTCATCTGGAGGGAGGGCTCCACCTGACCTCGGCTTTGTCTTTTGTCTTCTTCTCTTCATCCCCTTGCCGGTTTTCCCTGGGACCATCGAGAGCTGTGCGAGTTGTGGCAATGGAAACGCAAGAGATGTTGTTAACACACCTAGCTGTGTTGTCTTTTATTTTGTGATTCATTAAAACAAACCAAACTAACGTATCTTCTACTAGCTTCCTCATTTCTTGAAAACCTTAGACTTACTCTTTCCCAACTTACATCCCAGCATCTTTTTTCTCTTTTTTAAAAATTAGTATGTTTGTGATACATAATGAATGTGTTCACCTTGAGTAATTGGTACATGCATACCACATCCTGACCTTTTTTCCTCCTGCCTTCCTTCAGACCTCCTCCCATGCCAGGCCCCCTCCCAACCCAGGCCCCGTTTTCCGACTTGACTCATTAGCATAAACTTCCATTGCTAGTAAAACCTGCGCTTTGCAATGGTCACTAGCTCGGTGTTATAATTTCATTTGCAGAAACTGTTGCTGCCATTTGACTCAAAATGACACAGGAGAGAATCAGATGGGGTGGCTGCCTGGTGGGAACCAAAGCACAGGGGCTTCTCCTTGGCCTTTGTCACTGGGTAAATCCCCACCCATGCACCTGGCGACTCCATTGTGTGATACTGTCCCTTGGCTTAGGGACATCTACGCTTCTCCTTGGAATTTGGGGTCATACGCAGGGCGGGAAGTGTGGGTGTGGAGCAGAGTGCCTGGGCCCCGCAGAAATCAGGAGACAGAGAAGCAGCGTGCAGCAAGGATAGGGACCCGACTAAATGAGACAAGCCTGGGAGCATCAGAACACACGGGGAAGAGGGACCTTGAAATGTGCCCTGGGCAGCAGGGGGCCAGGGTGCAGGGGAAGTCTGTCTCCTCGTACCAGAGGCCCAGCGGCCACATCGTTTCATTGCCTCAGCTTTGCACACCCACCAAAACACTCTACTAGTTCACGAGATCCTATATGAACCTCTGAATTTGGGCACCTCCAGAGCACCCCCCTCAGAGCCCCTCTCAGCTGGCAAGAGCTCTTCTGAGTGGTTTCTAATAAGCTATACTCGACTCCATCCCCACCGCTCTGTCTGTGGACTTTGTACTTTGTGGTCTTCAGGACGAGAGCTCAGAGGAAGGAGAGAATGTTAGTGTTGACTGAGCACCGGGAGTGTGGTCCAGCAGGGTCTGCCCCTGGCTGGCATGTCTGGGTATGAGACCTGGAGTCAGTTGCCTCTTCTCTGGGCCTCACCCTTCTGCATGTGGCAAATAAATGGGTTGATCTCCACGTGGTGGTGGGGCATGCAGACCACTGAGGCTTGAAGATACTAGACCTTCTGTTGATGATATTTTATCTTTGAAAGAATTGATCTGGACAGTGACTGGCGCCCTGTATCGGGCAGTTACTTTAGAGGTGTGTAAGGCACACACTCGTTGATGGTGGGTCCTGCTCCTGACAAGCTCATTAGGTTTCAGCACGTTGCAACAGTTTGTAATTTACCCACGCTCCAGTAAAATGTAGCATCTGTTGGAATCAAACTAACCTTCATAAAATGGGTGAGTGACTTAAAAGATTACTGCAAAGAAGCAAGTGGGTTGAAGATAACAATAATTACAAAAAAGATGAGAAACAAGACTAACAGGGGGTGAGATTTCACGCTTATAAGCTGACCACTCTTGGAAGCTGTGGCAGGAGGATCACAAGTTCAAACCCACCTAGGCGACTTAGCAGTTTAGTAAAATCTTGTCCCAAAATAGAAGATAAAAGGTCGGCACTGTACCTTAGTGAGAAGGTACTGGATTTAATTCTCCAGTACTGAAAATAAATAAATAAATAAATAAATAAAATAAATACACTTCCTGTCAGCAGCACAGTCTGTGTGGTGTACCTACTGGGCTTTGTGAGTTCTTTTTCCACTCTGACAAGTCATTAAAAGATGCGTGAAAGTAAAGGGACCTTTTGAATTGATGCTTCAGAAGCACAATATTTGCGTTGCTACACCTCAAAGTATAATTCCAAGGTTTTTTAAAAAATGGTACAAATTCTACCCCTTGACTCTCACTAGATGTACAATCATGGGCACTGTCGGGCTTCAGTCTTTTCCACCGCAGTGTCATGTGAGGACAGCTTTGTCTCTTACTACAGCTGGTTAGCGCTGAGCTGCTGCGTTCATCTCCCCATACAGAAAGTCTTGCTTTCCACAACAGCCAAGCTCTACCTGAAATCCAGGAAACTGCTAATGGCAACCACCTGCCACTGATATCCAGAGAGGAAAGCAAGACCAGATCCCACCGCCAGATACTTCTGTGAAGCTCTCTAGTGTCTACAACAGTTCCTACCAATTCATAGCCGGAAGAAGAGCACCCTGAGCCACGGGGGCCGGCTAGGGTCACAAGAAGCTCGCTAACTGCTCAGAAGGGCTCCTCCCGGAACACTCGCTCTGGACAGCTAGAGCAGGATGTGCTGCAAGGCGGGGAAGACAGAGTAAGCAGGACTCACGGGCCCTCAAGGTGGGGAGCGGACCCCTTGCCCTCCGCTCTTCCACCTCCCTGGACAGCTTCCTCTCACTGCCCATGCGATGAGCACACGTCCACTGTGCCCAGGAAGTCCCAGCACCAGGGGAGGGCTCAAGCCTGAGCAGGAGCTTAGTCCTCCCCACCCGCCTGTGGGATGAACGAGCAGATGCGCAGAGGAGGGAATGAAAGGAGGAAAGTCACACTTTAGCTGTGCAGGCAGCTCTGCCGAAGGTCCCACTAGGAGACAGCAACCCCTGGGCGTAGAGAACACACGTGTAGGAAAACCGAAACTCTTGACAAATATTTCACATTGCGTGACCTTGTGCGTCATTCCTCAAACTTTGCCCCATGGATTAGAGACCCCAAAATTGTGTGGGAAACAAAATTCTCTTGTGGGCACCATTTTCTTCAATCACATTTCAGTAAATTTAGAAATTAGAAACAAGAATGGAAGTTAAACCTAGAGTGAGGGCACACGTATAGAACAGCAGACCTGTAGGCATATCATAGCAAAAGTTAGGAATCAGGTAGAGGCCTGTGACCACAGGCTCCTGCTGCTTGTCATGTAGCTAGCTTGCTAAATTCAGTCAGCCTTGACTATCTACTTCAGTGAAACCCTAAAGTCCAGCTCGAGCAATTACTTGAAAATTACAAGCAAAAAAAATTCCACGTCGTCATCTGCAGAATGGAGCTAGTGTTTGTAGAGGGTTTGCAGCATTTAATACTTAAGGCTAAAGATGAAA